ATAGCTAGGGATCTTGCATCTTTAATCACTGGAACAGAAGCAGAGAGGGTGAGGAGAAGGAAAAAGGAGGCAGCGTGTGGATGTGTGAAACTGACATAGATAGATGGAGTCCTGGGAGGCAGAAGTGTACACTCTGTGTCTCAGATGGGCTCTTGTGGTTGTGCAGGACCAGAGTTTATCAATCGTCTGAGCTGTGCATGGTCTGGCCTGGTCTTTATCAGAAGGAGCCCTGCAAGTTAACCTCCCAGCTTCCTCATCAGGGTCATGTTAGTACATCATTTATTACCTCTGAGGGCAGGCCAGGGTGGGGCTGTCAAAGAGCCTTGCAAGAAAAAGGGGTGGGGAAGGTGGAATGCTCCTTTCACCCCAGCCTGCAAAGCATTACTCTTCTTTTCATTCCAGGAAATAGTAATAATAATAATAATAAACTGGATACTTCTAAGATCTGCAATTGCAGTCCCATTGGGACTGTGTGAGTAGAGAAATAGTCCACCTATTTAAATGTGGCAGAACCATTAAGGAGGTTGACAGAGTTTAGGAGCCTTCCTTAAGGCCCTGAGACTGGCCCAGACTCCCAATTTACTCCATCTTATTATTACAAGGAGTCGTAATCATAATGCATCCTTCCGAGCTCCTTTCTCTTTCTCCCTCTCTAACAACCTGAATCTGGCACACTTCCCTTCCCCTTTAACCCTCGCATGCTAAAAATAATATCCTCTTGGAACCAGCCAAAAAGTGTCAGTTGGAGGAGTTTAATTAGCAGGAGTGGGCAGGAGACAGTTCTACCCTTCCCAATTTGCTACATTCTCTCCAGGGAGCCCGAGCCAAGCACAATTGGAAAATCCAGGTTCATGTGAACCAGAGATGGGAGTTTCTGACTTGCAGGGAGAGTCGGCCTGGAAACCAAGCTGTATTTCATTGCTGTAATACCAGGCAGGGGCCCTTGAGAAGCAGCAACTTGTGCATCCACATGGAGGATGTAGGGTTTTAGAGCCTAGACCCCTGGACTACATTTTCGGGGCTTGCTTCCTGCCCTTCTATTTGCGGGCTCTGTGACTTTGGGTAAGCTACTTAACCTCTTCATGCCTTGCCTTAACCATCTGTAAAATGGGGATAATCATAACCCTTATTTCATAAATTTGATGTGAGAATAAGTAAGTAGAAACCTGGCTGACACAGAGCAAGTGCAATGCAGAGAGTTTGCTAATATTGTTTTTGTTTGCTCATTTTTATTTTAATGAGTCTAGACCTACCCATCTGGCAAAACTTTAGTTACGGTATCTTTTTATTGCTACCATTAGATTAAGAGTGTGGTAAAAAGTTTTAAATCAAACAATAATTGAAATTCATGTCAAAAATAGGAGTTTGCCTAATTTGCATATGTTCTGTTAATTTTTTTTTTGATTGCATTTTAGGTTTTGGGGTACATGTGATGAACATGCAAGATTGTTGCATAGGTACACACATGGCAGTGTGGTTTGCTGCCTTCCGTCCCCTCACCTGTATCTGTCATTTCTCCCCATGCTATCTCTTCCCACCTCCCCACCCCCCGCCCCTCCCCCATTTCCCCCCAACGGACCCCAGTGTGTAGTGCTCCCCTCCCTGTGTCCATGTGTTCTCATTGTTCAACACCTGCCTATGAGTGAGAATATACGGTGTTTGATTTTCTGCTCTTGTGTCAGTTTGCTGAGAATTTTAAAATGGAATCCAGTGCATCTGCAGGACTTTGGATGATTGAACATGGAAAGCTTTTAGAAGTCCAGTCCCCTGCTCAAGACATTCCTCTGCATAGCACCATCTCTGGCAGAAAGAACTGGATAGTCATGAGATAATTATGATAACACTAAGTCCTTGTAAAGTACTTTATAATTTATATATTTTTAAACAATGTCCCTGGTTTAACCCTTGGGGACCTCCTCATGAAATGTGCTAGAGCCTTATGACTATAGGAAGAGACTCAAAGTTCTATTAGTGATTGTCAGAGGTGGGGTTATGGGAACAGATTGGATGTAGGGCTGGACTCCAAAGGGTGGCAAGAGAAAATCCCAATCATCGTGTCTGTTCCAGGGTAATAAACATCAGTTGGGTCTAACTTTCTTGTTCGAGGGATCCAGCTGAATTATGAGTGACATATTTGAGTAGAGTCTAGGTTCATAGCTAAGACGGTGCTGGTATCTAACTCAGGGAAGGCTAAATACATTGAAGTGAGAATAAGGATAGCAATTCATGTGCAATGAGGCTCAAAGTCTCATCCATATAAGGACTGCTTGAAAGAGCTAGATAGAGTGAGAGTCCTGTCCAGAGAGAATAAGCTCAAGGCCAGGCTGCAACCTTAGCTGACTAGGAACACTGTGATAATTCATGTCAGTGGATACCTGAGGTATAGTCTAGGGATAATATGTAGTCCCATGGGCACAGGTGACCCCCATTAGAGAAATGTCAGCCCCAGTCTGAGCAGTGAGTCTAGAATTCACTTGTGAATGGAGAATTTACTGGGAGGTTTTATAACGAGAGAACTATAGTCTCATCAACATCTCCATGCCCTCCTAAAGCAGGAGGCAGAGTAGTAACTATTGGTTGCATTGTACACACTTAGATAGGAACATAATCTAGATACTTAGTACTGGTAAAGTAAGCTGGGATTTAAAACTCTAGCTTCAAAATCCCATGCTGTTGTTCTTTTATTCATAACATTGGATGGTGCACAACAAAGATTTCATTACATTTCTTTCTTCTTCTTTTTTTTTCTTTGAAAATTCAGCTCTTTATTAAGTCTAGCCTTAATTCGAACCTAGACCTCTCTTTGTATAACTTCTTTGGTGAATTCTATTAAGAGCAGAGGATCCCAAGCAAGACTGTCTGGTTCACTTTTGGGTGTGTACACAGGGTACTGTCTGTGTAACTTAGAGATAAGTCACCATGTCTCTGACAAGGTTTCCTCATCTGTAATATGAGGACAATCATGTTACCTACATCATAGATCTATTATGAGGAGCATTTCAATGTGTAAATGACTTCTGAAAGTGTCTGGAGCTTAATCACTTTAAGTTGTTATTACTCCTACTATCATTATTTTAATATTATTTCTTGTATTTTTCTTGTCCATTTTGGGTTTTGAAGTTATCTGACTTATAAAAAGATTGCAGGAAGTTTTTCCTCATATTTTAAACAATTTTTTTCTATGACTAGAACAGATGATATAATCTATGGATTCATTATTATTTAAAGAATACTCATCTCTAAAATCAACAGAAATTCATATTTCTGTAATTACATTTGGAAATTTAAGTTGTTCAGTGTAATTTACACTTTTCTAGCAGCTACATTATACAAAGTTCAAAGAAACAACTGAATTTAGCTTTAATATTTTATTTTACTCAGTATGTCTGGAATATTGCCATTTTAACATGAAGAAAGTAAAATAAGTTGTCCATTTTATATAACTTTTAAAGATTATTCAAGTTATTCGTAATATTCTTTTTAAGTTTCTGCTATGTATTTATGTCTTTTTGTTTTTTAACACGTTTATTAGTATCTTAATTTTGATTGTTTCATCAGTTTTGATAGACCTTTGTCTGTTTTATTGATCATTTAAAGAATAAGCCTGTAATTCTGTTCATCTTGTTTTACGTTTCTATTTCATTAACTTCTCTGATTTTCATTATTCTAACTTCCTATTTTCTTTAGTTTTAATGTACTCTTATAATTTATTTCATTAAAAATTTAGTTCATTACTTTTCTACCTTTCTTTTTTGACTTTTTCATTTTCTTTTTTTGTTTTCTTTCTTTTTTTGTCGCCCAGGCTGGAGTTTGGAGTTCAGTGGAGTGATCTCAGCTTACTGCAACCTCCGCCTCCCAGTTCAATCCATTGTCCTGCCTCAGCCTCCTGAGTAGCTAGGATTACAGGCATGCACCACCATGCTCAGCTAATTTTGTGTTTTTAGTGGAGATTGGGTTTCACCAAATTGGCCAGGCTGGTTTTGAACTCCTGACCTCAGGTGATTTGCCTGTCTTAACCTCCCAGAGTGTGGGATCACAGGTCTACCTTTCTAATACTTGTCTTCAAAGTGCTTCACTTCCCTCTAACAGTGTTCCAGCTACTTTTAATACATTTCATTTGTGCTACCTTCATTGTCATTCAAATCCGACTATTTCACAATTTCCATTCAGTTTTTGTTGATACTCGTATTTAAACCTATAAAAATTACGTAAATTATTTTAGTTCTAAAACATTTATTTCTCATTTAATTACATTGTTACCAGAGGAAATGATTTATGGTAGTGGTTATTTTGGTATTTGTTGTAAAATCTTTTATAAATGTCCCAGGTGATTTTGAAAATACTTTTTATTTTCCATTTTCCACCTTGTATGCTTTCTTTTCAACTACATCTAACCTCATCTTTAATCCACTTATTCATTTTTAATCTCTAGTGAACTATTTTTTTATTTCTAGAGATTTCTAGTTGGTTCCCCTTTGAATTCATCTATTCTTTTCCATAGGCTCTGTTAGCTTATAATTATATCCAGCACTTTTATTCATCTTTGTTATTTGAATATTTCTATATTATTCCATTACTTCTAGTTCCTGGGTTGTTAATTTTTCTTTTTGTTGGGTCATCTGGACCTTTGGCTCTGAAGAATCTTTTTCTTATTGATTTCTTCTTTTTCATACCTTGCTCATCTTCAGAAAGAATATTATTCTGTTGAAATTCTGTCTTGCCTTATAAAAAGGTTGCTACTACATGGTTTCATGATTGTTTATGATGAGAGAGTTCCCAGTGGAAACTCAGGAATTTCAATAATCCACACTAGTTTTTGGTTAGCTTCTGAATTTATTGGTAATGTACTCTTCAGCTAATTTAAATGTCTATCAGTGGTGTGGGGCTGGAGTTTTTCTTTTCTGCCAGTAACTTTTCTTTCCCTTCATCCAAAACCTAAGCTGTAAGACTCACTTTTTTTCTGAGATGATGGACAGAGATTTTCTTTTTTTTTTTTTTTAAACTAAAATGGTCATGTTTAATGGGAACCAGAGGTATGGTTACAATTACATAGTCCGACACAAAAAACCCCCTTGGGGTAATCAGGAGTTGGAAGGTTACAACATAACGAGGGTAACACTTGGTACAGGAAGAAAAGCTGTTCCAGAACCTGGGGAGCCAGGCGAATACGGCCTCTCCCTGCGATCCTGTCTGTGCTCACCCCTGGAGTCCATCTTGCCAGGGCCAAAGCCACCTCTGTCCCCACCACCCCGGCCCCCTCGGAAGCCTCCGTGGTCCCCACCACGGCCCCGGTAGCCTCCTCGATCATAGCCTCCTCTGCCACCACGACGATCATCTCCGTAGTTACCTCCCATATAAGAGCCGCCTGGTCCCCCTCCTGGGCCATCTGGTTTAGGAGCTTTACACTGGTTGCATTCATTCCTCCAAGAGAAGTTCATGTTCTCACAGGTGGCATTAGGACACTTCCAGTCACCAGCGCGCTGCTGTCCTCCACCGCCACCACTTCCACTGGGAAATCCTCCCCGGCCGCCACCACCACTGCCACCACCTCCGTAGCCTCCATGGCCCATGGGTCCTCCTCGCCCTTGGCCTCCACGACCATTGCCACCACCCCGATTAAAGTCTGCCCGGCCAGTAGCAAATGAGACCTTGATAGGATTTCCGGAGAATTCTTTACCATCAAACCAGTCAATAACTGCTTTAGCAGAAGGTGGGTCATCAAAAGAGACGGTTGCCTCTCCCTTCAGCTTGCCAGTTTCCCTGTCTGTGTACAAATTAATCAGAGATTTTCTAATCCATTTCCATTTCAGCTACTTCTCCTTGAATGGGCTTTAGACTGTCAGCACCTAGCTCTGATCCATGCCTCCTCTAACACCTGAGAGCTGTCACTGAATCAGTTTCAAATTATTACTGTGGCATTGATTTCATTTTTCCTTTATCACATGTGGAGACTTATCTTGTCTTATTTTGATTTATTTAATATTTGCCATTTTATCTAAAATTTCTATGTGCTTAAAGTACGAAATGGGACAAAGTTTATGAGTTCAGTTGTCATGTTGCAAAAAGTTAGCTTCAGAAGTTTCCACAGCAATATTTAATGCATGAATATAAAAGCACATTGTCAGCATCGTTCTAAAGTGAATAAGGTATGACAAAGGTGTTGGACCCAGCTTGTACTAGCTTTCCAAAACCTGATTGTTAAAGTTTTGGGAATATTAACAGCCAGTAGTTTAAACAGAGCCATTACTTAAAACTAAATTACAGAAAACTTGTAACTAAATACATTATTTTTAAAAAAACAGATGTAATAAATATTTGATTCATTACTTCCTAATTATTTTACTACAATTTATGATTATGCATGATTTTGCAGTTACTTTTGTGATACTGAATAATGTTATGTGATGCTGTGCTCCCGAGCATCTCTTTCCATCTACTTTCAGTGGCACCATGTTGGTAGCTTGAAATCAGCCATGATGAGATTATTTGCCTCCGGAAAACTGCCAATACTAAGATCTGGTTTTTTCGTTCCTTCAGAGAGCTAGTTGTTAAACATTTATTGACATATTTCCAGACCAAAGAATATCACAATTAATGTATAAAAGCAACATATATACATCTCAAATATAAAATAACTTAAAAAGAGCATTCATTGGTCTCCTTTGGAAAAAAATAATGACAAAATCAAGGCAATCATGAGACAAATATGAATGGAAAACAAAGGATAGAGAATTCAGAATAAATAAAAGGTGATTAGTAATGAGTCAACTTAAATCTGAACTAAAGCAAAATCATTGTAGAAATTAGCATTATGGCGCACAGTTTAATGCTATAAACTTTTGCATTGTTCAAAGAATAGTATAACAGAAATAGAGGGTTGGAAAAATGAGATGACAAGGTTAGTAGTGCAAATTTTATCATCTTTTAAAGCAAAAAGTACATTGATACTGCTAAGTGAAAATATGGGTTAAAAATTATCACCTTACAGAAAATTTAGGGCAAACACTATACTTAATGGTAACTTGCTAAAAACTTTTTATGATTCTAAGATTGAGATATTGACAGTGATGCCTACTTTCCCATTTTTATTTGACATTAATAATAGTAGGCCTTACTCTGTGTGGCAACGTGAGACAAGAATTGAAAAGGAAGAATTAAAACTTTCAATACTTGTAGACAACATGAATATCTGTGTGCTGTTGGTTTCTTTAATTTCTAGGTCTTTTCAGTGGACAGAACGAATATACACTAATGTTATATATATTATATATAATCATAAAATTAATATTAATTTTTATAAATATATATTTTTTAAGTTATGAATTCACTTGGATTATTATAATTCACATTTAGGAGTAAGTGTTTAACTTCTAGATTACTTCTATTTGTCATTTATTTCACAGTAGTAATCCTGGTTCTCAAGAAGTGAGGGGAAGATAGAATTGAAATATTCCATAATTATTCCTTGGCTCTATACCAGATGATACACATAATAGTCTCAGAATAACAATATCCATTACTCCACCAATATGATAACTGCAATCATTAAATAGTTTTTTGAGCTTATTCCATTCTTTGCTAATTTCTGAAAATAGTGATACTTTGTCTATACTGTCAGTGCTTACCGTCATTATATATTATGCATTCTTCAAGTATTCTTAAGTTTTAGGTATAAATAGAGCTATGCATTTAATGTTTACTATCAGTTCTTATTTTCATATCTTAAATAAAATAATTTGACTTTTTGAAGATTGTTTTCTAGTAGATTTCTCAGCAAGAGTACATGGAAACATTACCCGACTTCTTGAAAGTGAGGGAAGTTTGTGTGCAGCCTTTATATATGAGAGTTAGTTTGGGTGGACATAAACTCTTTGGTTAATTTACTCCCCTTCAGTATCTTAAATATGTTATTCTATATCTTTGTTTCTGGCATAAAACATTGTCATTGAGAAGTCTGATAGAAGTCTAATAGTCTTGTTTTATAAGTCTTTTGTCTTTCTGCCTAGATGCCAGAATGATTGTTTATTTTTTATATTTTTTCAAGCCCAGTAATTTTACTAAAATTGGCTTTTTAAAAAATATGTTTTTATTTTAGATTTAGCAGGTACATGTGCTTGTTTGTTACATTGGTATTACATACTTAATGGTGGGGTTGGGCTCTAGTGTATCCATGGCCCAAATATGGGACATTGTACCCAACAGACAATGTTCAACTCTCCCTTTCAAGTCAAGAGTCATTTTTTTTCTATCTTTATGTTCACATGTATCCTTTGTTTAGCTTCCACTTATATATGAGAACACATAATATTGATTTTCTGTTTCTATGTTGGTTCACTTAGGATAGATAATGGCATCCAGATCCATCCATGTTGCTACAAAGGCATTATTTCACTCTATTTTATAGCTGAATAGTATTCCATGGTGCATACATGTCACATTTTCTTCATCTAATCAACTGTTCGTGAATACTTAGGTCAGTTCCATGACTCTGCTATTGTAAATAGGGCTGCAGTCAACATAGAAGTACAGGTGTACTTTTTATAAAATGATTTCTTTTTCCCTGGTTAGAGCCTCAGCAGTGGAATTGCTTGGACAAACGGTAGTTTTATTTTTAGTTCTTTATGATATTTCCATACTGCTTTCCACAGAGGTTGGAAATTCTCTATAGACAGTTTACGTTTCCACCAATAGGATATGAGTGTTCCTTTTTCTTCTCATCCATGCCAACATCTGTTGTTTTTTTGACTTTTTAATGAAAGCCATTCTGACTGGTGTAAGATGGTATCTCAGTGTGGCTTTAATTTGCATTTCTTTTATGATTAGTTATGTTGAATATTTTTTCATGTGTTTATTGGACACTTGTGTTTCTTTTTTTCAGAAATGTTGTTCATGTCCCTTGCCCAGTTTTTAGTGGAGTTATTTTGTTGTTGTTGTTGTTGAGTTGTTTTGAGTCCCTTGTAGATTTGGGATGCGAATTCTTTGTTGTAGCTATAATTTATAAATATTTTCTCTCATTCTGTAGATTGATCTATTGGTTACTTCTTTTGCTATGCAGAAGCTTTTTAGTTTAACTGCCATTTGATTAAGTCCCAAGTCTACTTTTGTTTCTATTACAATTACATGTGGGATCCTCCTCATAAATTTTTCGTCTAGGCCAATATCCAGAAGAGTTTTTTTCTAGGTTGTCTGTTCTAGGATTTTTATAGCTTCAGTTCTTATGTTTAGGTCTTTAATCCATCTTGAGTTAATTTTTATATATGGTAAGAGGTAGGGATCCAGTTTCATTCTTCTGCATATGGCTAGAAAGTCTTCCAAGAATCATTCATTGAATAATATGTCCTTTCCCTATTGTTTATTTGTGTTGACTTTATTGAAAATCAGTTGGTTCTAGGTATGTGGGTTTATTTCTGGGTTCTCTATTCTGTTTCATTGATCAATGTTTCTATTTTTGTATCACTATCATGCTGTTTTAGTTATAATAGACTTGCAGTATAATTTGAAGTCAGGTAATGGATCAATTTTTTTCAGGTATGTGCTGTTTCTTTTCAATATGTAATTTAAATTTTATTTTGTATAATTTAATATAAAATAAGTTGCATGTTTTAATTTTTATGAAAATTTTTCTCAATTATGTTTGGTCATATTTGTTATTTCTGTGCTTTGTTTGTCCTCTTCAGAGACTGCTATTATACATCTACTGAATCTTCTTTGCTTATATTCAATATTTGCTACTTTTCCTTAAATAGTTTTATCTGGCTTTCAATTTTTTTAATTTATAAAAATTATTTTTCACTTTATATTTTTTAAACCATTATCTGTTGTATTTTTTTGCAACTGTATGCATTCTACTTATTCTACTTTAGTTTTTGTTTCTGAAGTTTTTCTTTTATTAGGATTCTTTCCTAAACTGTTACCCTCATTTCTGATATTTTTCCAATTGCAACATATGTTGGTCTTTCATTTTACATGTCATGTTTTTAATATGCTTACCTCATTTAGGAAGAGAGTGTTTTTGTTGTGGTCAAGTCCTTCTCTCTTTTTTTTTTTCTTTTTTCTTTGTTCCTTTTTTGCATATGTTTTCTGTAGGGAGTTAGTCACTTAGTTTTTTTTTTTTTAATTCTTGCTCATTTTTATGGGAAATTCGTTTTCTTTTTTTCTTGAACTATTACAGAGTCATGGTTCATGACAGTTTCTTTAATTTTACAAAGCTCATTTCTGTTGTTGTACAATAGGTCAGCCTTATTTCTGTTATCCATCACTTGGCCCTATTCCTCTCCACCTTTATCTGGAGCTAGCGTTTTCTTTATCTCAATTGTCTCTGTTCTGCTCGACAACTCTTCATCACTATAGACATCTTTCCTCAAAGGGAGTTGGGCCAGTTTTGAGAGTTTGCAGTGCCCAGAATTCTTCATACCTCTGTACTTACTCATGACTGGAGTTAGCAAAAGTCATTTTTTATTAAATCAGCACACTGTGCTTTCCAGTGAGTCCCTTGGGGCCATTTTTGGATTCTTCTCTTTTCTGGTTTGTCAGATTTTCTATGTATCCAGCTCCTATTTCTCACACTGATGTTGATACCAGTCAGTTTCTATAGCTCTCTGTGTTTCAGTCAATTCATTTTTTGGTGAGTTTCATGGGGTTACCTAAACATCATTTTATAGTACAGTCGTGTGTCCCTTAACTACAGGGACATGTCCTAAGAAATGCATTGTTAGACAATCAGGTCATTGTACAAATGTTGTAGAATGTATTTACACAAACCTAGCTGGTATAGCCTACTACACATCTAGGCCATCTGGTATAGCCTATTATTTCTAGGCTAGAAACCTGTACAGCATGTTACTATCCTGAATACCATGGGTAGTTGTTGTAACACCATGGGGAGTACTTGCATATTGAAACATATTTTAACAGAGAAAAATACAGTAAAAATAAAATATTATAATCTTATGAGAATATGGTCATGTACATAGTTCATCATTAACCAGAATGTCTTTATGTGGTACATCACTGTGTATATAATTGCCAGGAACTTACATTTTGATATGTAGCTTCTGTGGGATTCAGGTAGATTCAAGAATTATGTCACCATTACTGCCAACTTCCCAGACTCCACCAGAACATTGTTTTAATTAATATATATATATAATTCTAGCAATTACAATAACAATAAATAACATTTACTTTCTAATATTTAATAACATCAACAAAATTTGAGAGGACATTTAAAAAGTGTTAACACCATACAATTTCATAGAAAACTTGGAAAGACATTTTCAACATGATTTTTAAAAATCTATCTTAAAGTAAGAGGCACCATCATAATTGATAGTGTAACACTAAAATCACTCTCATGCAATCAGTAGCATTACAGCTATCTCTGTGTTGATATAGTAGTAGTAATATTTGTAAATGTATTAATTTCACCTTTCATGAACATAGGAGTTTAGGTCTAAGATTAAAAGATTAATTACAAGATTACTCTCAGAAATTACTTAATAATGGGCCAAGGGCTAAATTTATTACTTTTCTTCTCTGCTTTGTCTCAGACTAAACAGGTCAGGAAAGAAAGGTAGAGGGATGCTATTACTTTTACAGCTAACAGAAGTTACAAAATGCCAATATGTATATTCTGCACATTATTCCAAAAATGCAATAGAAGATATTAATCTGTGCCTGATTTGCAGCCTATTTTAATGTTCGGTTTGGTCTTGGTTCCACAGTTTTAGAAAATAGAGACATTTGTCAAAAGTACTTGTGGCTGGGCGCGGTGGCTCACGCCTGTAATCCCAGGACTGTGGGAGGCCAAGGCGGGTGGATCACAAGGTCAAGAGATCAAGACCTCATCCTGGTCAACATGGTGAAACCCCGTCTCTACTAAAAATACAAAAAAAAAAAAAAAAAAAAAAAATTAGCTGGGCATGGTGGCGCATGCCTGTAATCCCAGCTACTCAGGAGGCTGAGGCAGGAGAATTGCCTGAACCCGGGAAGTGGAGGTTGCAGTGAGCCGAGATTGCGCCATTGCACTCCAGCCTGGGTAACAAGAGCGAAACTCCATCTCAAAAAAAAAAAAGTAGTTGCTTATTTTTGTTTCAGAAAATAAAACAAATAAAAATACCATGAGGTTCTAAAACACATTAGTAGAGTTGTGTTTTAAATACTTAAATAATTTCAAATGAAAAGGAAAAGTTTATTAAAAGGCTAAAATATAAAACTTCAAATCATTCTAAGGAGTGACAAAAATATGTCAGTTCCATATGAGAATTGATGAAAGAAAACATTTCTTAATTAACTGGGCAAAAATATTTTGGTCCCGTTTTTCTTGTTTCCCCTCACAGGCAGGAGGTTTGGAATGCTGACATGCCACTTCAAGTGTGCTCTGATCTGGTGTCAGAATGTTTGGCTTACAGGTTAGAGAGAGCGCTGCCATTTACTGAAGTGTACACGGAGTACTTATTCACACAGTATTTTCCACCCATGTTTCCTTCTGCCAAAATGCCCTATCAGAAGCAGTTGAAAGAATGGAAAGTGTTCAAGCCGAGGAACCGAAAACACAGGGAAAGGAAAAGAGGGCATGGGATCTGTATTCAATTAACTGAAAGGTTGAAAGGTTGTCATGGGGGAACAAAAATTTGTCTAACACTATTCCAGAAGGAACAACTATCACAAATAGACAAAAGTTATAAAGATGTGAATTTCAGCTCAAAGACTCAGGAAGCTAGCCTCTCTGCTTCACAAGTCTTGCAAGCCCCACCCCTGTTCCCACACAGAATTCTTCCGAGAATTCACCCACTGTCCCACAAATTCATATTCTCCTTCTCTTGAAGTTTCTCCTCTGGCAATAGAGGTCTTGCCTGCATTAAAGGGATAAAACCACATGGAGTGGATAGTTTAACATCAAAGATAGTGTTGACTGCAATGATGTCACTTTGACAGTAGAATTATTACATTGATTACATTGCACTTGGCCCTGTGGTAGGTTAATGGGGCAAAAGTGAACAAAGGATAGAGATTCATTTTGAAAGCAAATGGAAGCTGGTGTGGAGACTGCTTTAATGTTCGGCTTGGTCTTGGTTCCACAGTTTCAGAAGATAAGGGTCTTTAACAGTCTCTGATTAAGTCTTGGCACCAAGACTAAATCAGAATAAAAGTTATGGTTGCTGACCAATTATATATAACCACAAATAACTTCCCTTCAATGGTGCTCTGATAGTCAGAGTGGACGTTACCACTGGGGAGACTTCAGGGGAGGGGAGGCAGGGGGCAAATACTGTTTCAGTTGGTTCCATTCACACCTTTGAAGACACTCAATGTTTGCTTAGTCATTTAATCAGTTTGGCTCTAACTTGTTCTCAGAATTTTTTTTTTATAAGTACCCTCACTTTTAAGGTCTTGGATGGATCTCTTTCTTTGGTCAAATGTTCTGGCTCCCTACCCATAGGCATACTATGGGTATATACATACTACCCATAGTCAGATTCCTCTGACTGGTAGGCTTTCCCTCAGCTGTTATGTCTGTGTAGTCTGGGTCATGGCCAAGGAAGGTGGAGAGCTGAAAGGTTCTGTTGGAATGGGGTCTCCAATACAAGGTCACTCCAGCCCAAAGTGACATTGCTACCTGAAGGTAATGAGGATCCATGGAGCAATCCCCAGATCTCTCTTTTTTTTTTTTTTTGCACTGATGGTGTGGACATATCCTTAGGAAATCTGAGAGTTGTAGACTGGCTCCAGTACTAATAGAACATACCATCGGAGACCTGGGCTCTTTCTCTTCTTCATTGGTCTTCTATGGATTTTCACCTTTGCCCCAGGGTAGAAACATAGCCTCAACCTATACCTACTACTGATCATTCACCTGTAAGGTCCGGATGAATAGAAATCATCTGGTTTTGTTCACCACTGTATATTCTGTCCTTAGCAAAGTACTTAGTGTACAGCATTTGTTCAGCCAATATTTGTGAAGAGAAGATAGAGAGGCAGACAGAGAGAAGTAAAGAAAGGAAGAGGGAGGAATAGTGGTGTAGAGAGACCAGAGAAATTGTCCATCCACTCACTTAATAATCTTTAAGGCTGCCTCTTTATCATCTTGTAAATTCCTCATATTCATTTGCACTGTGGAAAAGAACAATATGGGAGGGGACAATAAGGATTAGAACTAAGCCTAGTTAGCCTGGCTTGATCAGTATTGCTGGAACAGGGGGATCTTATATAGTCAGGGGAGGTATAGAGAGAGATAAAACAAGCTTAACAGCTAAAATTTTCAATAGAATCCAAGAGCTTAGATGAACTTCTAATGTTCAGGAGTTAGAAGACTATCAGATGTCAAAGGCATAATGCCAAATAAGCGTGTTGAGCAGAAGAGACCAAATACAGGCTGGAGGCAAAAAGTCCTGAATTCAAAAGTGACTTCAGCACCTCTGATCTGCATAAATTCTGAGCAAGTCATTTTTTAATGTACACCACAGTGTCCTCATTGTAAAACAAAGAATACCTACACCATTAAGTATTTTACTATTTTTCTTTCATTCTTTTGTTTGCTTTTCTCTTCTTTCCTTCCATGACCATTTCCTGTCCAGAAACGACTACTGTTCAGCTTCCACTTTGGTATTAGTTCACTTACCAGACATCCTTGAATCTAAAAACTATCCTGTAAGTGTGTCTGTTTTGAGTCCTTGTGAATATTAAAAGTTGACTTCTGCTGGCAATGGACTACAACGTGCAGGTCAGCCTCTTACAGAGAACAACTCCAACAGCTGAACAGGGCAGTTTTTAAAAAATGAAGCATAACGAGGCTAACATTCCAGAGAAGAAAGAAACTTAAGAGAGGTATAGTTCTCGGAGCTACCAGAATAGGCAGCTGAGAGGCTGAAAAACTGAGCAGATATTTTTATAGCCTAATGGAACTCTGAGAACACAATTTGGAGTCCAGTGCCTGTCAAGCACGGGGACCCCTAATAATGTCCCCGCCATGGTCTAGTTTGGCATTTAGAAGGACTACCCTCTAAGAATAAGAATGAACCAGGAGAAAAAGAGTTAGTCCTTGTACAAATTAAAGTCTAGTTTCAAGTGGTCTCAATCTCTTGAATTAGATTAAGATTATCTGTGATTGGTAGTTCTTCTAGCTGCCTCTCAGAAGCAAACATAAATTTTCCTTGGAAAAAGAAAGCATTAATCCCAAGTAGTATTTTCATATAATTTTTCAGATCTAATGAATGGTACTAAATCAAAAAGAACTGAGCAAAAAGATAGTCAACATTACCAAAAAAGAAAAAGAAAGAAAGAAAAGAAAAAGAACAACAAAAAAAGAGACAACTCAAAATAGTCACAGAGAGGATCAGTCAGCGGACATGGACTTTAAAAGAACCTTTTCCCTCCTCTTCCTTCTTCCCCTCCTTCTCTTTTTGTCTGTTTAATTAAGGGTAAGTCCATCAGGTTTTAGTTGTAAACTCACACTCAGTTTATTTTATCTGAATCATCTGATGCAACTGAAAGCATTTCCTGGGAAGGAAAGTCCTATTTTCGATTCAGTCCTTATATCAAGCCTAAGTTCAAATTGGCTCTTATTACTGAAGTCTTCTTCTTCTTCTTCTTCTTATTATTATTATTATTATTATTTTGAGACAGAGTCTCAGTCTGTCACCTAGGCTGGAGTGCAGTGGCATGATCTCAGCTCACTGCAACCTCTGCCTCCCAAGTTCAAGCGATTCTCCTGCCTCAGCCTCCTGAGTAGCTGGGATTATAGTTGTGCACCACCATGCCTGGCTATTTTTGTATTTTTAGTAGAGACGGGGTTTCACCATGTTGGCCAGGATGGTCTTGAAGTCCCGACCTCAAGTGATCCACCCCCCTCAGCCCCCAAAAGTTCTGGGATTACAGGCGTGAGCCCATAGATATGAATGAGAAGCAGTTGTTTCTTTCAGTGCTGCAAGTCCTCAGATTAATGGACTCTCTTTGTGGCTTTCATTCCTGTTTGCGATCCAGTTGGTTCTTTTCTGAGCCTATCTCTTTCTTGCAGCACTTTGTTAAATAAAGCCAGTGTTAACCAACGCACTTGTTTTACATTCTGTTTTCCAAATTCTTCTCTTTGAGCTCAAGTTCGTTAAACATATTTCTGAGCTCCAAGTTATTTCAGGGATAACTTTTGCCAAATGTGAAACATTTGGATAACAGATCAATATCCCTCCAGTTTATATGACAACCTAATTTCTTGCTCCCTCCCGCCCAGTGCCAGCTCCTTAGCTGATGCTATGTTTGGTGGTTGTTTTTCCCACGAGTATAGCAGTTTCTGTATCGGTCAGACTGGGACAGGCCATGCCGTAGTAGTAAACAGTTCCACATCTCTGAAGTGTAAAATAAACATGTTTATTTTTTCCCTCTGCTGCAAGTCCATGAAGGTTTTTAGAGGGACTCTGCTCATTTTACTCACTTGTGTTTCCAGGCTGATGCTCAAGTAACATCTCTCGCTAACTGAGAGAGAAGGAGATCTCTAGAGGGATTCTTACTAGCAATTAAATGTGCACTTTTGTTCATAACACATTATGCAGAACTAGTCACATGGCCCCGCTGTGCACAAAAGGGTCAGAAAATGGAAATTTACCATGTACCTAGAAGATGAGAAAATAAAAACATTTTGTGACTCGTGCTAATGACTACAACATAGACCCCCATGTATGTAGGAGCTCGGTATGTGAAAGAGGTGGCAAAGTAAATCAACTGTGAAAAAACGAACATCTCACTAATGGCCCTGAGAAGTTAGATAATTCATATGGAAAAATACAAAGTCAGATGCCTAGTATTTATCTTAGAAAAAATAAATTCTACAGGGTTTAAACATATAAAAGTAAAAAGAAGGATTTTACCATTTTTGAAGAAAACATTTAAAAATTCTTTCCAAATTAGGATAGGGAAGAAATTCTTAAAGGAAAAATTTCCAAACCAACAAGGAAAAGGCTAATAAATATAATTAAAGTATTAAAAAATTGGCAAGAGAAAAGCCACCATAAACTGAAAAGTCATGCTATAGACTAAGAGTAGCTATTTGCAAGCCACATAACTGACAAAGCAGAAACTAGAATACATGATGTGTTTGGAGAAGTCAACAACAACAAAAAAGAAAATTAAAATAAAAAGTGTCAAAGCAAATAAATGTTCTTCAGTAAAAGAAACAGACATATTGTCTGAATATTTTTTTCCATACTTATGGAGTACTATGCAGCAGTTTTGAATGAACAAAGCAGTTACATAAACATGGATACATGGTCAAACTCAGTGCGCAGTAAAGATATGTTTCAAAATAATACATGCAGCAAGTCATCAGTTCTAACAAACTATAAAACATACAAACACATGGTTTTCTATAGATGGGTGCATGTAGTAGAACTATAAAAATATATAGACTTTCTTCACAGTAATGTTTTCCTAATGAAATGGATAGTTGCAGAAATATTATCTTAATTGGCAATGTTTCATTTCATAAAAG